AAAAAAAATAGGGGCACCTCCTGTGGCTCAAAGGAGTAGGGTGCCCGCCCCATATCCTGGAGGTGGCGGGTTAAAACCCAGCCCAGGCCAAAAAAATAAAAAATAAAAACACCAGAAGAAATAAAGAATAACCTAATTAGAAAGTTGGAACAGAATCACAAAAAGACTGCAAAATGAAATCCCAGAGAATTTATTAGCTAGGAGTAATGGTGTCTATTGTTATATGAATGATGGTACTGGTTAGGTAGTAAAAGTTAAAAGCAATATAAATAGACCACAAATAAAGTGACTATGATAGGTAGTTAATAAAGTACCATTCAATTATGACAAACACTAGCCAGGACAACATATTTTTCTGTAAATTGGCCAACAGTAAGTGATTTAAGGTTAAAAAGTTGTAAAAGAAACATTACTTATACTGTCCTTTTGGAAAAGAAATATACGTTCTATAAGAAAGCAGATCTCAAACTCATTTAGGTAGAACTCCTCGAAGCCATAGAGGTCTTTTTGGAAGCCACTCCAAAAATTCCAACCTATTTTATATCATATAAGGTTACAACAATTTTATTAGCAGAAAATACACCATTTTTCTTTTTGAGACAGAGTCTTACTTTGTCACCCTGGATAGAGTGCCATGGCGTCATAGCTCATAACAACCTCAAACTCTTGGGCTTAAGCAATCCTCTTGCCTCAACCTCCCGAGTAGCTGGGACTAAAAATACCTACCATAACACCTGGCTAGTTTTTTAGAGACAGGGTCTCGCTCTTGCTCAGGCTGGTCTTGAACTCCTTAGCTCAAACAATCCACTCACCTCAGTCTCTGATAGTGCTAAGATTACAGGCGTGAGCCACCACGCCCAGCCTAAAAAAATTATAAATATACAATATAAATGTCACAGGGAGTTTTGTTTGCTCTGGTCACAACTATATTCAAGAATTGTACCTAGCACATAGTAGGTGCTCAGTAAATATTTGTGAAATGAATTTAAACATAGCTACAAAAATATAAACCACAGTGAACTATTTCCCAGTTCATTTTTATTAATAAGCATTTGCCACTTGTTCATTCACTTTTTCCATTTGCTACAAGTGGAAATAGTTCAGGAAAACTATATGTGACATGACACCACCTTAAAAAGAAAATTATTCTGGGCACCGTGGCTCATACCTGTAATCCCAGCACTCTGGGAGGCTGAGGTGGGTGGATCACCTGAGCTCATGAGTTGGAGACCAGTCTGAGCTAGAGCAAGACCCTATCTCTAAAAATAGCCAGGTGTGGTGGCAGGCACCTGTAGTCCCAGCTACAAAGGATGAGACAAGAGAATGGCTTAAGCCTAAGAATCTGAGATTGCTATGAGCTTTGATGCCACTGTACTCTACCAGGGGTGACAAAGTGAGACTTTGTCTCAAAAAACAAAACAAAACAAAACAAAACACAACCCAGAAAATTCCCTACATTAACTTTGAGTTGATTGGTGTAGCACTTTAAAACCCAGGTCCAAAAGAATCCTGTTAGAAAATCAGTGCTGTAATGGCAGTTTGGAATGATGTACCACCAACAATAGAAAAATACTTCCTATAGAATCTAAGTTTTTTTTTTGTTTGTTTGTTTTTTTACCTTGAAATAAATGGTTGATGTAAAGAAGAGCTGTGCTAGATGGTCAAAAAGAAGTGGTTTCATCTCTAGGAAATAAAAGAAAAGATAAATCAAAATCCCTTTAATTCATAGCAAATAAAATTAAATGACTCAAAATTTTCATGATACATACCAGAGAAGCTACCGAAAGGAATCCAGCTCAGAAGCTGAAGGAACTGTGACCGACAACAGTGGCCATCCCAGAGAGGAATACTCTTATACAGGAACACTTCACAGGAATAAAACCCCTCCTGTAACACAAGCGGACAATAAATCCTATGGAACTCTTTAGTCATAACTGCTCTCTAAATAACTGGTTTATTTATTTATTTTTTTTGAGACACAGTCTTACTTTGTCACACTCCAGTACAGTGCAGTGGCTTCACAGCTCACAGGAACCTCAAATTGTTGGGCTTGAGCGATTCTCTTGCCTCAGCCTCCAAAGTAGCTGGGACTACAGGTACCTACCACAATGCCCAGCTATTTTTAGAGAGAGGGTCTCGCTCTGGCTCAGTGTGGTTGAACTTGTGAGCTCAGGCAATCAACTTGCCTCAGCCTCCCAGAGTGCTAGGATTATAGGCATTGAGCCACCACTCCCTGCCAACCAGTTTATTTTCTGCTATAGTTGTGTCACTCTCAGACTAATTTTTTCTCAATATAAGAGAACCTTAGATTAGGTGCCAGACTTCCTCCCTCCAAAAAGGATGAGATGCTTAGTATTTGCATTATCTTTATCGATATAATTGTCAAACACCATAAAACTTTGCCAATTGAAAAGAAGGTAAAAAGTCAAGGTATGAAATATTTTTTTTTTTTGAGACAAAGCCTCAAGCTGTCCCCTGGATAGAGTGCTGTGACATCACAGCTCACAGCAACCTCCAACTCCTGGGCTCAAGCGAGTCTCCTGCCTCTGCCTCCCAAGTAGCTGGGACTA